GGCCTCCCCGGCCCCCCCCGGGGGTGCGGGGGGGGAGGATGGCCCCTGCCGTACTCGCCTTGGCTCGTCAGCGCAGCCGTCCTGGCCTAGGTGACCGGTGGCGGTACGCTAAAGCTGCCTGTGTGGGAAGGAAGGTGGCAGCGGTGTTAATGCCCGTCCGGAGCGTGGAAAGCACGGTGCGTTACTTCATCTGGAAGCCATGTTGAGAGGGCAGTGGAAGCACAAACAAGCCTGGATTTTCACAGTGTTGCGTAGCACGGGGCTGTCATTAAAGCTGAGGTGATGGGTTAAACACAACATAACAGACGAAAAACTGGGCTGCGCTTGTGTGCCAGGCAGGCACAGGGGTGGGCAAGGTCTTGCAGGAACAGGCGTTTCTCTGCCGGCCATGATGAGCAGAGAATGAGAGGATAAAAATACGTAAGGAGCACCTGATCTATTTGGATCCTCATTTGGAATCAAGTGTGCGATGACAAGGTAGAGAGCTGAGCTTCGTTTCTGCTTTACATAACTCTGCAGAATTTATCCCAGCTTGGCTCCAAGATGATTGCAGTAAAAGCAAGAGATTATCCCCAGGGGCATTTGAAATGCAGAAGACATCTGGAACGTGAAGATACACGCACTAGTTTTCTAACACAGAAGTTGCAGCTCTGTGACTGTCATTGCCAGATTTGTGCACTGCCGGATCAGTTGGCTTTACACAAAGAGTTAGCCAGCAGTTATAGCTACATCAGGTTGACCTGAGGGCAGTATGACCCTTTTGATAGCATTTCCCTGACTTGTCACCTGGAGTCCCGTGCCGCCTCGAGTCCTAGCCCGTACCCATTCCCCTTGTGGACTGTGAAATGCCATTTTTGTTACACCCGCTGTCTGTTATTAATCAGCTCTATGGGGACGAACTTCTCTTTTTCATGCTTAGTCACTGACGTAGAGTAAATTTCCCTGGAACAATACTGCACATGATGCCACTGACATCATAGCTTTATATGACTGCCCCCACACACGCTCCTCAAATGGCAACAGCGTGCAGAGTCCCCAAACCGGGAAAGTTATTTCTGCTATGTGCAGACAATGATGACAAAGGCCACAGTGTACCTAAAGGTTTAGCGAGGGCAACTGGCAGCGTCGCCTGCTTTTCTCTTGGATTACAAAGATGCGTACTTCCATTCTGCGCAGCGTCTGGGTTTGCGAGAAAAGCAAGGATGATGCATGGGAGAATCTGCAGTAGAGGGAGGACTTTGAGCAATGAAAGACAACACTTGGGATTATCCCTGTAGATCATAACCTTTACCTGCTGAGGAAGATACATTCAGATGTGCTGTCTAACATTTAACACTGCTAATTTTATAATGAGTTACGATGCTCTAACAGGTGCCATGGGAACAGACGATCGTGTTCCTGTCAACACTGGGACTCTTCTGACTGCAGAGTGAGCTGGTTCACAAAGCTAAACAGGCAAAAACTAGCCCTGGAAAAAGGAGCAAGCAGATGTCTGCTGGTTTAACTCCCTGAAAACCAGCTTGCAGTGGGATAAAAACAAGGGTTAGCGCTGGACAGAGAGGAGGGGAAGGGGCAGGAGCACCCCATTAAGGAAGAGCTGTTCATTTTAGCAGTGTGAAACTGCAGCCTAAAAAGCATTGTACTTGTTACTGCAAGGCAGTAATCTCTCTGCATCTCATTTTTAGACCACTGGGAGAAGAGAAGCACAAGTCAGGAGGGGACCCAGCAGACAATAATCACTCTTTAAAAGGTTCCTGTGTTACCCAAGGGTGTTACCAACATAAAGGTCATACGCTCTTTTACTCGCATGGGCTTCCCACATGAGGGTCATGATCAGGCACATCTGTTTCCTACCCAGTTTCGCTGAGTTTTATGTTAACAGGAAGGAGTATTTCTCTCTTTGGTTTGAGGCTAAGACCACCTAGGCCTCATTAATATTCTTGCTGCTGGCTAACCCAGTAATCTCCACACCCCTACCTTCCTTGCAACTCTGGGCTGCTGAAAGCCACACAAGCAGGCTGAAATCCCTCTAGCGAATTCATCAAGGTATAGGTAACTACAGTGACTATTTAGAAGCGGAAAGGGCATGAAGCAGGAGAAGATTAAATGAAAGTGGAAATAAAGTCCCAGCCAGCCACCATTACCAAAATAGTGAATAGGGATTAACTCTTCACTGTCTCTTCCAAATATAAAAATTAGATGTCATCAAATGAAACTAGTGAAGTCCAAGTTCAAAACATGCAAAAGGAGGTGGTTCTTCACCAACTGATAGTAGAACTCTGGAATAACTTGCTGGAGGATGCTCTGGATACAAGAAATTCATGTGGTTTCACCCTACAGACAGCTTTAAACCAGAGGGGAAGAAGGAACAGGAAAAAAAAAAAAAAGGAGGAGAGAGAGAGAGGAAAAAAGAGAGGCTCCAATTCAGAGACTCCACCTGCCACTGCTGAAGACCCTCTGCAAAAACTACTGCCCCTTAGGTCCACAGTGAAGCTGCTGGTATGAGCCATGCAGCCAAAGAGTCAGCACTTGCCCAGTTCTGCAACAGTTCCGTGAATGGAAGCAGAAATGTCGCTAGCATCCTCTTCTGCTACTGGTGAACATATTTGTTATTACTTTCACTATGGTTCTCCATGTTAATCTCCTCTACCTTTCTTTACTTTCTCCGTTCCTGTATGCTTATTTGCCTATGCATTCTCTGTCCTTTTTTCCAAGGCTCTGTGAACTAACATATTTCTCTTACTGCTAGACTCAGTGTAGCTCTCTTAAAGGCAGCAGCAATGAGGGCTCAGGAGCTGCTCTGCAAAAGTCTCAAGGAGATGGCAAAAACTAAATAGATAATTTATTTACTCTTTGAGCACCAATTGCTTTTCTTCAAAATATTTGGAGAAAGAAAATGAAAATTGACCTAAAATAATAGAATAACAGACATTGAGAAATAAGTTTGTCACTGGGTTGTTCCATTTTTCTGCTTTTCAGGAAAGCTAAACTTCAAATTGCTTAAATTCAAATATATGGATTTCTCATACGTTAGTGTCAGGCTGAGAGTCCTTGCCGGCCAAGCAGAAACCTATGTAGCTGTAGCACCCTTTTTCCACTGGACTGTAATTCAGATAGAAACGTGCTGTCACGGGGCTGGGTTACTCAGCAGTAAGTAGTCAGGGAGCCTGACTGAGGGCTGCTCTTCCACAGCCCGAATGGATCCTCGTTGCCTAACCGGCCTTCTTTCAGCTGGCTCCTGCTAGAGCCCCTTGGATACAGTTCCTCACTTGCCTTTCCTAGCCAAACGTAATAATTAACGTCCTATTAATTATAGCTCAGCAGCAATAGTCAGCTAGTTCTGCAGGTGCCTTATGGTAACAGGGGGATCTGTAGCTCGTCGCTGAAGTTGCAGACCTGAGCTCGTGGTTCGGGTGAGGCTGTTATTCAGGGCTGTGCTAATGGCTGTGGCTCAGGAAAAAGCAGGGGAGCCAGGAACCCACCACCTCTTCTTCCCTGGGATATGGAGCAGGCGCTGCCTGTGTCTCTGCCTCTGCGTGAGGCAGTTCAGGGAGACTGACTTAATACCGATAAGGTGTTACACACCATCACATTTTTTACATTATCTAGTACCTGCCACAAAATTTAGCTTAGCTTTATGTTTTTATGCCGAATTTATACCAGCTGCAAAAGGACAGGTGGTACCTGGTCCAACATGAAGCTTACAGGTACAAAGTGGAAAAGATTGGTTTTCTCCTTGGGTTAATATTTGAATCATCAGAACAGGTTTACACCAGCTCAGTGTGTTTAGTTGTAGACGCTGAATGTGAACTCATGAGGAAGTTACTCTCAACACTGTGAAAGCAAGCTATAGACAGCTACAAAAACACTTTACTGGGTCAAAGCTATTTATAAACCTTCAGAGGGTAACAGGAGAGCTTCTACAGGATCATGTGTCCTTCCTCAGCTGGACCTTTCCTGAAAGCCACCTGAGCCCCCTTCTGATTTAACTCAACGTTAGAGGTACCCCCAAATGCAACCACTGCACTCATGGCCAGGGTCTGCCATTACATTTCCAAGCAGCTCAGATCATACCCCGTCTTTGTTTTGACAAACCATCATCATCTTTGTTTACAGAGACCCAGGGACTAACATTGGCAACAGCTTTTGTTTCCAGCAGACAGCAGATTGCGAACACTGAGCATGCCATGTCATCTTCACCTTTTGCTTAATTGAGACCCAGTATTCATCTTAAAAAGGGCGTGAAGAACATAGGTCGTAATAAGGGAAGAACAGGATGAAGAAAGTTCACATATTCTCAAGCAGCCAGCACTTTTAATCCTGAACAAACTCCCTGAAGTAACTAATGACCCATCACCAAGAAATCGCTAGCACCATCCCAAATGCCTAACTTCCTGGCGGTGCAGTGATTTTTTCAATTGGCAAGCTTAACTTCAAAGGTCAAAGGCAGTGGAACAAAAGATTAAATCATCAATTTATAAGCACTTTCATTCAGTAAACTGGTAAGCTGCTCATGCCAGCAAGGCAGGCAATCAAGAACAAGCTGTTTCAAATGAATCCAGTACTCCTTATTGGAATAACTAAGCTATTGGGCAAGGGGAAAAAGGGGAGATGTGTTAAACCTGACTATAATAAAGATTTTAGTCCATTTTTCTTAAGCAAACAAGAAAATACCAAGGTAAAATTCATTGTAAGCTGGAAGCACAACTTTTTCCGAGTTTGCATTCAAAATAGCTCCTTGACAAACCTGGGGACAATTCCTTTGTGGAATCAGGGATCTCTTCTTAGCACAGGACCATTCAACACCTGCATTAATAATTTGTTAGGCAGATTAGAGCATGCAGCGTTAAAACATGCAGATGAATCAGCCTGGGAAGTTTCAAACACTCTGAAGACAAGGACAGAATTCAAAATGAATCGCAGAAACCAAAGGAATGATTCAACAACAAGATGAAATTCTGCAAGAAGAAAGGCACACTGTGTCTAGGAAGTCTAATCCACCAGTACAAAATCAGAAATACCCATTTAGGAAACAGTAACATCTATAAAGGCTTGAGCTAAAGTAGATGCGATCTAAAAAATAACAAATACACTGGCATTACAAAAACAGGTAAAACCTATTCTGGGATGTGGCAAAAGAGGGTATGATACTTAAGGGACAAGTAATGATCTACTAAATGACAGTAAGGTAAGAAAGATTTAACAATGAGCTCAGCTTCCTTACGGCACAGTACTGCTCCAGCGCGCATATGGCTGCCGCACAGTTCATGAAGAGCTTTGTGATATCTTTAAAAAGTAGAGGTCAAACCCTTGCAGAAGGCTGGAGTGTTATCAAGGCTGTAAGTGTCTTGTCATGTTTATATCACCTACCTTTCACATGCTTTTCAAGCCTGGGGAGGATGGTACATGTCCCATCACTAGTGGTTTTATTTCTTATTTTTAGGCAACTGTGATACTAAGCAAAAACAACATTAAAACAGTATACTCCATAGTTGTGAAATCCAGGAAAACTGTCATTAAGCTGTAATCACAAAAGACTGTTTAAAGTAGTTGTCACATTACACAGGTAAAAACACAAAGTAGAAAGGACAAAGCTTATATATATGACATCTATAGGACATCCTGGTTCCTCCGACCTTCTGATAGATTCTGCTGGAAAACAAACTGCAATTTCACTGACTGTTTAAGTACCCAGGAATTATGCCTAGCATGCACACGATTTTTATGCCACCACAGTTACTTTGAAAAGGTATATTTAAGCATTACAACTCTTTGAAAGTACTCAGACAGAGTTCTTTCTCTTCATATTGCCTAAAGATGCAGGAATACATGGTCTTTCTATAGATGTGATTTGATGCTACAGTCAATTCAGTGACAGTCATGGTTCTGGAGGTTTCTGCTCCCAGCTTCTCCCACTTGCTGTTTTCTCTCCTTCAGTTTTACCAACTCAACTTTCAGGTTTTTTTAATCCAAACTCAATCTCTCCTCCCCCTTGACAGGGCTGTGCTGTCGGACAAGTAGTAACTAGATCCACATCTCACGGTGTCCACACCAGAGAATTTACCTCTAGAGTGCTGTTTCCCTGCTGGGCACCGTGACAGCATGTGACATCAGGCCCTTGAGCTTTAAACCACCCTGTGATCCGTGTGACACGGATAGCAGCACAGAGCTGGTATAATTAGGGAGGACACTGGAATTCGCCCTTCCCCTAGCCCATAACGATAGCCACCCAAGCCCTCAAGAAGACAGCAATTCATATTCTGAATATTTCGCTTTCAGCAACAAATGCTGGAAAGGTTGTCTAAATGAAAGATAAGATTCAGCAGATTTTGGCTCATGTTATCCGCAGGCCCAGGCTCTTTCTGCAAGAAGTACTCCATCAGCACAGCGGGGGCTTGGTGCTACAAAGCACTCTCACCTGCAGACATTAAGAAGTGATTTACACCAGCAAATATAGAGGTGGAGGTGGGACAGCCCCCAGGGTGCAACAGCTGGAAGGCTCAGGAGAAGATTTCACAAGCGTCTCTTGGTCGCTTAAGCATCCGGCTTCGACTGAACGGTGTTGCTCTCTGTGTAGACTTTCAAGGCCAATATTAGGGTACGAGGGTCAGCTCGTGCCAAGCTCAGCCTCGGAGCCCTGACATCAGTGCGCAGCAAGCTGCTGTGCATGCCAGGCTGCACGGCAGCAGTGACCCACGGTCAGAGATGTCTCCAGCATTGCCTCCCCTTCTCCCTCACCTCAGTGGGCCTCCGAGGGGCCGGCTGTCACCCAGCTGGGGCCAGGGGAGCACAGGCAGCACACGGAGCTGTCAGCCTCAGCCTCCCTCAGCGGTTTACTAACATGGTTAGATCTGATAGTAATTTCTAGCCATGCACTAGCGTCACATGGAGTGGTTTGGTATCTCGGCCTGGTTCACAGACCCACATCTATCTGGATCTGGTGCTTTCAGTTAATTATCTGCCATCCTGCTAACTTGGTGCCAGAACTTAATGAAACTTTTGGCCTCAGAGACAAGGGTTCCTCTGCCGCAGAGCACGGGCACAAGGACCATCACGAGGCAGCAGCAGAGCTGCTGCAGCAGCAGAGCAGCAGAGCTGCTGCCTGACTTGCCCACTCCAGAGAAGAAGGCAGCTCGATTCCCAGACCTTTCACCAGCAGCGCTTGCACCACCCTGGGCTTGCTGGCACTGTGTGCTAGGCCGGCTGGGGTGGTGGCTTCTCCTTCCAGAGCCAGAGACGAGCAGGTCTTTCCTGCTCCAGCTTAGGAAACAAATGTGCAGTCCGGCATCCTGGGGTTGTTGGGACGCTGCAGAGGACAAGGCCAGGAGTGCTGGTGTCTGGTTCCTGCCGGTGAATCATTGTCTGTTTGCATTAGCTTTGCTCCTTCCTTCCACAGTTCTTGCTCCAAAACGCCGGCTTGCTTGGCACAGGAATGGGTCTCAGCTCCCATAAGGAAATGTCGACAGTGCAGCTGCCTTCCCAGATTCTGCACTCAGATCAGTGACTCTGCTACTTTTTCAGCATTGAGCTGAGGACGTCCCTGTTGGTAAAATACATTCTTTGTTCAGATACTTTTTGGGCTTTGCTCACGAACACAATGGCCAAAAAGCCTACTGTTTAAATTGCAATTTAAATTGTTTTAGTGAGAATAAATGCTTTGGGAAATAGGCGCATTTTCTATTTGTTCTTCCCCCCAGACCATTCAGAAGCACATATTGCACCTATCGCTCTAGAATTAGGTGTTCAGCCACCACAATGTCCCGACCATGTGTCTGCCAGCAACAAAAGACACGATTCTGCAGACCTCTTTTCTATTTGGCATCATTTGGCAGTGCTGAAACAGCCCAGGCATCTCTCATGCAGCTCCCCGAGCTGCACAGTGCATTAAGTAAAGCCACATCAGCTCTTCCAGGGGTCTGATTCTGCTACACGACCCTCCGACATCCCCGGTTGCTAATTCCCAGCACATGCACCAGCAGAAGAGTTTTCTTTTATTACTGTTGTCAAATTCAAGCATTGGACGGCACATAGGATAAGCAACAGGCACAGGCCATTATTTCTGGCAGGCAGAAAGCTGGCAGACAAAGGGCATGGCAGGCCAGTCCATCGCTCAGTGCTTGCCCCGGCTCCCCACCACCACCTCCTGCCTTTCCTAAAGCACAGGGAAATACGTCCCCCCCCCAGCGTACAGACAAGTCGAGAGCCTGGGCTTCTGCAGCTCCCTGTGGGAAATCACTTCAATTTAACAAATGATGTCAGGATGAACATTTTTTTCTGTTTAATCCGTGTTTTTCTTTCAAAATTCCTCCTGTCACATTGAGTTACAAGCCCTTGAGGTAGGCTAAAGACTCCCTTTTCCTCCCTGGGGACTGTTCCCTTTGGATGGTAACATCAACCTTCCTCAGCCATCCCTGCTCAGCTGAGATACACATATTCAGCCCTTTTCATCTTTTCTTATAAGTCCTTCCAGCCTCCGATAATTTCATTGCTCTTGTGTGACCTTTCCTCTGTTTTCCTGCACCTTGGACTTAACTGCAACACTGCTGATGAAAATGATAACTATCAATCAATCACACTGCTTGAATAAGTGGCTGCTCCCCTGGGTGCCTCCCACCCCTCCTCCCCACCTGTCGGTGACAGCAAACCTCTGGCAGCCCAGGGGCTTTTCTTCGGGCAGGGCTGAATTCCTGTTACAAGGCTGACCTGGTCAGCCTCCGCCGCCCTGGGCTGCGCTGCCGAGAGAGGAGGGAAAATGGATGCCCTGTCCCGTGAAAAAAGCTCCCCGTGACCCTTGCTCAGCCGTCCGGCTGCGATGGACACACAGACAGTGTGCCACTGGCTCTGGCAGGCGGCTTCGTGGTGGAGGAGAATAGCGACCCAGGGAAAATACTGCCGGGCTCTGCACTCGGTATCGAACATGCTGCGCCCAAAGGGTGCGTGCAGGGAAGCTTGCGGTGCTCCTGACAACGGCACCGGGGCTTCATTCAGTCCTGGTTTGGGTTTGCTTTTTTCCCCAAGGCTGGGGATGGGGGGGGGGAGAAGAAGAGCTTTTTAAATTTAATTCCCTATTTAAGAAAATACAATTTTAATAAGCTTTTATGTTTTACCCGATTATTTTCACATTCAAGAAAAGAAAGGGTGTCTTTGCCGTTACAACGTCAGGTACCCCTGATTGCAAAGGCAAAAGTAGCCATGGCTATGTAATAGCTGCGTGCTTCGTGACCTAGGTTTCATGCTCTAGGAGATAGATAGGTACATAGATGACAAATTCAGGCAAGACCCACCTTGCGTGACTGTGAAGCATCAGCAACAACACAACATCACGCAAACTTCTGAACGAGGGAATAAAGGCCCTCGCCACCAAGCCCCATTTTTGTTATACATGCTTCTAACTTCAACAAATGACATACTGGCTCACAGCTGCTTTATTTAAAGTTTCATTGATCTTACTCTGTTGGGAGCTTATAATGAACACCAGACCCCATATCCCTAATATTTTCTATGGAGACAGGCAGAAGGAAAACACTTAAAACAAGGCAAGCTTTCTTTGAGAAGCAGGGGAGGGAGGGAATCCCCCTCAAGCATTAATATCCCCCTGCTCCCTCACCAGACTAAACAGGAGACACATAAAAGTTTTAAATAACCTTTTTTCAGTTATGGAACACAATAAAAGAAGAAAAATATTTGGGGCTTTGGACATTGAAAAAAAAATTATATTTTCTTTTTTGAAAATTTCAGAGGAAACTGCAGCAATTGCCCAGAAGGGCATCGTGTCTGGAAAATTTGTTTCCTCTCGTGTAAGGAAATGACTCCACATTGCTCTGGCAAAGAAAGGAGCTAGCGCTGCTAACTGCGGGGAGCAGATGCTCCCCCCGAGCAGCTACCGAGATTTGTTTTCCCAACGGACGTTAGGTCCCACGAACAAATTCAACGCCCTCACACTGAAGAAATCGGCAGGCTTTTGCCCAACAAAGCAAAAAAACCGCATTCTACCACCAAGTCATCTGCCATGGAGTTTCTGGCCCAAGCCAGGTGAGTACGTTCAGGATGGGCTTGTGACCCTCTGCAGATGCCAGTGCCAGGTTAGAGCCTATGGAGAGGAGCAGCCTTCTGGCGCACATCCCCGAGGTTGCTTTCTCAGGGTGCCCTGGTGGCAACGGCCCTGCTGCAGCCCCATTCAGTCGCTGTGGAACACCGGCTGGTTTAGACCAAAGAGAGTCTGTTCTGGCTTCAATGCCCTGGCAGTTGCGTTTATCAGCTCCTTTTCAACTTGATCACTATTGCCGGCACCACTGAAGTGCTAATGGAGGCTTGTTTTAATAAGAATCATAGAATCATTAAGGTTGGAAAAGACCCTTAAGATCATCGAGTCCAACTGTTAACCTGGCACTGCCAAGTCCATCTATACCATGTCTTCGAGCACCACATCTATCCGTTCTTTAAATACCTCCAGGGATGGAGACTCAACCAC